AAAAAATGCAAACATGCAAATATTTCAGTTAGCATATTAAATGTTATATGTATCAGCACAAATACCTCATACCAACTGTCAAGCGCAATGGCGGAGGGGTGATGATTTGGGCTTGTTTTCCACAGTACTTGGGCATCTTACAGTTGTTGATTAAACTTGAAGTTTATATACCAAAGTATTCTAGAGTCAAATGTGAGGCCATCTGCCTGACAGCTAAAGGCTGGCCAAAACTGGATCACGCAAAATGACAATGACGATGACAGCATGAAATCTACACCAGAGAGGAGGCTGATAAAGAGAATCCAGGTGATCCAGTCAAAGTCCAAACCTTTATCTGTTTTAAATTTTGTGGCGGACTTTATTCCTGCCAGAGAATTTGCCCACAAAGCTCAATGAAGCAACATTATAGAGTAACATTTCCTCCACAGTGATATGAAAAACCGATAAAGTTACACTGCATAGTGTCCTGTGAAAATGTTTTTTATACATAATATCTGAGAGATTAAAAACCAATCTCGCCTAGCAATATACCACATTATCTCAATATGTGTGTTTACCAATGTAGCTAAAAGTTTAAAATCAAGACTTTGCTATATTTTTGTGTCTGATGCAATCATGAGACCAATGGTCTTTGAGTGGAAGTTGCTGGACAACAGTGTAAGGTTGCATTGACAACCATGCTGACATTTGCCAATTTGTTCATGAATCTGACCTGAATTACAGTTTTTAAACCTTCTCACTATAGGCTCAACATCTGTGAATCACCATGTTCACTATCAGCTAAGGGCAATAATTGAAAAATCAGCTCACCAATAAAAACTGCACTGTAAAAACTATGTGCCTTTTAGTCAAAGGAGAGACATAAAAAGAACTGGGTCTGTGCTTTTCAGAGACAGACTACATTTTGTTTCCCCCCTCACTGAAGTAAATCACTGAGTCACTGCTGCTGTAAAGCGTCGTGCATGCTTGTATCCTGTCAATTTTGCAGCTCATTGCGTAGTATGTTCATGTTCTTTTCTGCCCTAGTAACACCTCTCAGTGAGGCGTTCCTCTCTCCAGCTGTGGCTATGAAAACCTCCCATTGGGTGGTGCTGTTTTGCTCTTGTGAAAATTCAAATGCACAAAATTTCTGGCACCAGCACCAGACTGCTTAACTGAACTTTGAATGGATTTCTTACCATATAATAAATGTAAAAAAAAACGCCCATTTGTTTATTCTTCAGCTGCTTTAAATAACTGAATACAGTTAAAGAACCCTGTAACATACTGTCGAACATACCGTCAAACACTTGGATAGTTTTTGCAGTTTTAACTGTTTTTCTTCACCTTGAATTAGGAGATGTGAATTAGAGGAAAAAGGAATGAAAATTAGCGGAGACCAATGAGAGAGGAAGGGGTGACATCTAATGTAGGTTCTCATTCATTTTCCTGGTTCAGTGATGCAGCAAGGCCCAACGGGTCCACCCACTCACCAAATTGTATTCCTCTGTCTCCCCCATCCACATGCACAGAATCACACACACGTAAATATTCTCCACCAACCAGCGGGGCCGGCGTCCGCCATGACGTCACACTGCAGTTCTTCTCGGGCTCCACTGGATGACAGTGGCAATTCGCCGCTTACACGCGATGAGCCGTCATTCTTAATGGCGACCGCTCAGAGTGTGTGTACGTGAGTCCATTCGTGTATGTGTTTGTGTGCAGTTTGGGTGGGGTTTGTATCGGATGGGTAGTGATGGGGTATTGAGGAGGTGGAGAGGGTTTATTGGAAGGGGGTAGGTGGGTTGATGAAGGTGTAGGAGGCGGGGGGCGGGCCGTAAAAATCGCAAATGAGAGGAAATTGTTTTGAGTCAGAGCAGATTTGGTGGAGGGAGATAAGGGCTGATGACGGTGGCGGTGGTGTGATTAGGATTAGGGTGGGGGGTAGGGGTTTGAAAAGAGTAGAAGGTTGTGGAGGTGGTCGTGGTGGTGTGGGAGGAGGAGGAGGGGGAAGAGGAGGACGGTGGGGTTGGTGGGTGAGAGCATTTGCACGCACGCCCTACGACTGTGTGTGTCTATCTGCGTCTAGGTTGTGAAATTTTTCCTCCTGAGCGTCAGCGAGTAGAATTGGGGGGAAAGATGAGGAGATGGGTGGTTTAGATAATGGCCGCCACGGAGAACGGACGAGGGCAGAGGGTGTCACGCTGAAAGATAGAGTGTGATGGAACAAGAAAGCGTGGACGAGACAAACGTGAACATTCGATAATAGAGAGGTGAAAACCCCCCCAATAAACAAACAAACAAAAAACAATAAACACAGAAAGATAGAGTGGAGAGGGTGTATGGGAAGTAGGGTGGTGGTGGTGGGGGGCTTGGAGGCCTGGATGAGAGGAGAGACATTGAAAGAGTGCCAGAGTGATTTTTGTCATGTTCTCCACCCTCCCTCCCTCCCTCCCTCCCTTCCATTTGTTGGCTATGTTGTGGGTAGCTTTGGCGGCAAGAGCTTTAGGGGCTTTGGAGTGAACAATGACGTAGAGGGACCCGCTGCGTCTGCTCCAGCTGATAATGATGATGCCTAAAAACGATAACGATAATAAGTAGCTTCTAGTGGAACCCTAAAACCGCCGGCACGTGACGCTATACGTCACAGGCTATCACACGCGACGCGCCGGACACGCAGACATGGCTATCTCATGTTGGCAGAGTGTGTGAGGGTGGTCAGAGGGAGCGAGGGAGACACAAAGAGAGACAGAGGTGGAAACAGAGAGAGAGAGGGAGAAAAAAAGGGGCACGAGGAGGGAAAGAGATTAGAGCCTGTCACCTGCATATACTTGACATTCGCGTATGGGACGAACGTGTAGGAGCTGAAATGAAAAAACAAAATGAAAGCATTTATAGCTCCCTCTATTGTATGTGGGCAATCTTGTGTAATTTTGCTTTTATCAGTACAGAGAGAGAAAGAGAAAAAAAACACTCAAAGGCAGCCACTCAGAGAAAGCTGAACCCTACTGGGAAGCATTATTTTGAAACATGGTAAAAGCTGAATGAGATGGTGGGAGGTGTCGGGTGGGTCCGAGGGAGGTGGGGTGTCGGGAGGTGGTAGTGGTGGTAGAGGGGGTTGTCTGACATCACTTTGACCACATTTTCAGTTTAAATCCACACGATGTCAAGCACGTCATTTGAATTTTGGACTTTGCTAAAAATAAAAAAAAGGGAACCCATAATTGAAGCGTGGACTCATCTGACTGAAAAATGACGATACAGATGAAAAGTAATTCAGCCATGACTAAAGCAGAAAAGAAATTTTGCTGTCTGCCTTTTGATGATGTACGAGCCATTGAGTTTCTTTGGTGAGTCATATAGAAATTACTTGAAACAGTCACAGCAATCAAACTGTAAAGTAGGCGCTATAAATACGCTCGGATGTTTTGGGAATTTAAACTCCCGTCAGCTCGGTGAGGACGGACGACAGAGGATGGCGGTGGTATTCTTCAAAAACAAATTACACTCATGACATGTAACTGCGGAGCCTCTCAGGTAATTAGATTAGACTATGCCTTAATCAATTCCATGTCTGACCCGCTGCAACAGGCATCAAAAGACCACATTATAATTCCGCTCTTGATTTAGCAGTGCTGTCTTAACGCAACGGACGAGCCTTCTCAAAATGCCACCAACCCTGATTTTTCTTCCATGACTCATCCAGCCTCTGAAACAATGCGACACCATGCCACACGCTCCCTCATGACACACTGTCCTTTCCGTAGCACCCCTGATGAAGCTGCAAGGTTTGTCCGCAGGGATAAACGCAAACCGACAGCTCCAAAGGGTATCTCAGGGACTTCTCACATGGGGATGGTCAAGAGCAGGAAAACAACCCAAACCTCCCCCAAAACAAAAAGAAAACACAGGAAGTGATAAGAGGTAAACATGTTTTTGCGGACATCTTGCATTAGTCAGTCAAAAACCTCTCACTGAGCCCACATGTGACTATGTGCATGACAGGGTCGGCATTATTGATGACACATTTATAATAGGAAGTGATTCGGTGCTTTGTGGACTCACAGTCTGAAGAGGCTCATTGACTGTGGCGGCTGGTTGACCTTGGTGAGAAGGCAACCTGTTTCTCTCACTTTCAGTTTGAACCTCTGGAGCTTTCTTGTGCGCGCCTTGTCTGAAGGAGGGAAACAGAAGATATTCGTTCTGACGTGAGAGTCGGAGGTGAGAGGCACCTGGCCTCACCCTACGGTGCATTATATCTAATGCACAGAAGTGATGCCTTACTGATGATCTCAAAGTCTTTCAGCTCTTTAGACTCATGGTAAAGTATGAAGTATGTTTTGTTGAAGAGGGGGGGCATTGTCCTTATACTGGCATGGTCCTGATTACCACGAAAAATAGTCTTTGATTCGGGCTGAATCATAGCACATGTGCAACCTTTAAGCTTGAAACCTTCACTTGTACACTCACACCACACCTGTGAAACAAAGAGTAGGGAGGGCAAACACATTCCACTTTTTGCTTGAGTTTTCGACATTATATCCTGTAACATTTTCTTGCCACAAAAAATACAAAAACAAAAAACAGACAGTGGTACGTCTTGAAGTTTCCTGAATGTTACATTTGAAATGCGTCACTAGAATTTAGCAGATGGCAAACAAAATGTGCTCCATAAAAAATAATAATAATATGGAAACTGAAAACGTAATGTGGCCATGCAACATGAAGAGCTCAAAGAAAGGAGATCAGTGACTTGAGAGACGAGCTTTATAGCTCCAACATCATCCATTTCACCCAATAGCTTAAACTTACGTCATAAAAATACATTTCAATTAAACTTAATTGAAACTCTAAGTGTCCAGTGCCTTTTTTAAAAACATTCCCTGCCTTCTAAGACTATCTACGATGCAACTACCATCTGTAGGTTACAATTATTTGAGGAAAAGGCGGCTTATAGAACATAATTTATGACAGCATTATCATTACTGTTATTGTTTAGCAAGTTAAACCAAGAACTTTCTAAAAATATCGCCTCGCCTTCGTCTTCATATTCAGACAAAGTTACTCATATAGGAAGCGTGGACACAAACAAACATACTGTGCAGTTCATTGAAGAGGGTGAATCAGAGTCTTCCTTTCTTCCTTTTTTGTGCTTTCATCTTGATCATCTTCATTCTCAGTGACTTTATGTAACACGTTTTTGCATATGACACAAAATTTCAAATCTAAGATGTAATCACATCAATTTTTATTTATTTATTAATCCTTTATTTATCCAGGTAAAAAATCTCATTGAGATTAAAAATCTCATTTCCAAGAGAGACCTGGCAATTACAAATGATGCGCTAAGAAACCAGAGAATAATTCACGTCATTTTAAACCTCTTTTTGTTTCCACACAATTACATTAGAGCGAAGACTAAGAGTTGACATTCAGCAAGTTAAGTATTTCAGTTTTTCAGCGATTTGTCTCTTTTTAGACTTGACTGATTAGGTTTTGGACTAAATCTGTGTGATGAATCTGCTCTCCGGCTTGGGTGAATCTCAGATTTGGTCCAGTGTGGATGTTTGTCCATGTACGCATTGTGTTTGAACAGGGTTCAGCCAAATATGTGGTCAGACTCTAGAGTTAAAGGTCACCACAGACTATAAATAAGAGCCTGCTGCACACAGGTGCAGGACCCGGTGTGTCTTAAGTTTGAAGAGATAGCAAAATAGTAATAATCAATATGTTCGTCTTTGACATTGTATGGTACTGAAAAAGCTAAATCACTGCACTAATGATTACTGTTGTCTTTCTCATCTGAATGTCTCCTGGAAGCTGCAGAAAGCATGTAACTAAAACATTTCAGAAATGGAAGATGCATTTTTACAAGAGGATAAATTGTGCAAACTGGAGCACAGGCTTTTAGCTGCATGCATGTTTATATATCAGAGTGAGACCACAGCACTGAGGTAATGCTGTGTGAGCGTACAGCAGACAAGGAGCATGAATTTATAATTTTTTTTCCACTGCTGTTAGGGAACCTAAAGGAGCATAAACAGCTCCTGCTAATACAAATGGTCTGAATTAGTCTCATTCTTGTTCAGGAACATGAGTGTGGATGGAGGAAATTGGGGAGGGGAGGGAGGTGGCAGGGCGGAGCGGGGGAAGTGCTGCGTGTTGGTGATGAGGCTTGAAAAGAGATGAAGCCGTGCGGGGGGAGGACTAGAGAGTGAGAGTTAAACGCAAAGAGAATTGGAATGAATGATGACAAGATCTACTCCTTTTTCCCCCACATCTGTTTTGTCCTCATTGTCGGAATTCGATGGGCATCGCCTCACGACCCAAACTTTGCAGCAGTCAGACGTTTCACATTCAAATAACAAGGAAATTTTAACATCTGATGATGGATTGGCAGTTTGGAAATTAGCTAATGTTGCTGGTGAAAGCTCACCTGATTTTCTGTCAGGCAGCAGTATGAATGAATAATGAGCCAGCTCAACATACAGAGTCGTTTAGAACGGAAGGAGACACAGTTCAGAAGATGAAGCGAATATTTGTGATAATCAAACCAAAGCAAATCCAGTGTTGGGCTCCACAAGATTTGATAAAACTGTAGCAGGAATTTGATCAAATCTACAGTGAAAGTCAAATGTTTTTTTCCCCCTCTGTTGTTGTCATTTTCTATGAGGATTTTTCCTTTTTGATTATTTGCCATGAAATGTGCTTTCCAGTTTGCCCCGATTTGCTATCACACAGGAGGGCTGAGATATTCTATTAACCCTTTTAAAAGTGTCAAAGTGAGGTTGTCTTTAATTTTAGCAGTGCAGATGGTTACTGTATCATTCTAAAAATAATAACAATAACACTAAATTAATTCTTTTAATTGATTTTTAAAAAAAAAAAAAAGCTAATATCTCCAGATCCTTTAAACAAGATAATCAAATGCTTTTTAAAGCCTTCCATTATCTATTTTTGAGTTTTAGGCATTTTCTAGGGTCACCTTGTGTCGTAGGATGTTGCGTTGGTTTTATAGTTTATTATAGACCAAATGATTCATTGAGAAAATAATGGAAAGATTAGTCATTAATGAAAACCATAATTAGCTGCAGCTTTAGTAATTGTCTTTAGTGCATATGTGGTGTGTCTGTAGGTTTGATTATGAGTGAAAAAAAAAGAATGGATTAATCACACTGATGACAGCATATTTGATGCAGTTTTTTGTTTCACGCCCTACTCACAAGAAGAGGAGCAGAAGGGGTGCAGAAGGAAATATGTATACAAGATGCAGATGGCTGATTTAATCCACAGATTTGTATTTTAACTAATTACAAGAGCAACAACATCGTTGCTGCAAGTAAACCATGTCTTTTTTTGCTGCCTTTCATTAACATTTTGTTCGGCGGTTGACGTTAATTATCGGGGCGAGATCTCGAATTCGCCAGCAAGGCTGTAAAAGGTCGAATCATTTTGCAGTTTGATTCCATCGTTTCACTTTGGTTCTCACTCTCAGCAGAAGATTGCATTCCAGATTTGACAATGCAAAGCTCTCAGTAGATGCAGCTCATGAAACAATATGGCATTATAAGTACAGAGATGTGGGCTGTGATTGCAAAGCCTGTCTCTTTTGGGTTAGTGCGCATTTGTGTGTGTGTATGTGTGTGTGTGCGTGTTGCCTACAGGTGACTCATCGCACTGCAGATGACCACAATGTTTTTCTACTGCTTGAGTGTTCGTGGCTCTCTTTCTACCTTTGCCTCTCCTATGATTCTTAGTCCCTTTCTTTACTCTATTTTTGTAGCTTCAGACCTCTTGCTATCTCCTTCCCTTTGGTGCTTTTAAGCAGCTTACAAGCCTCCAGATTACACAATGCGGGATCCCATACAGTTCTGTGTGTGGATACTACAGACATGAAATGCAAATAAAAGAGATAAATAAAAGAAACATTTACATGTTGAGCTAAAGATCTTTGTTTTTTTTGTGTGTGTGTCTCTGAGAAGGCTGGCCACTTGCAGCAGACGGTGCAGCCCAGGTATAATGAGCCATAATGTCACGTTACGATCTGATTGGCATGGTGAGCGTCACAGAGAGGGGTGGGACAAGGGGACTGTTGACAGAGCTCGAAAAAAAGGAGCGAGGGAAATAATTATGATGGTGATGATGATGATGAAGGTAATGATGAGGGGCGATGAGCCGAAACAAAGGCAGAGTGAAAAAAAAGAGGTGTATATCTCTTTCTCTCTCTCTGTCTAACCCTCCTAGTGTCAAACTCGCATCAATCATACATTCATTTACCCCGTTCCTCTCTCTGCCTCTCAATAATACTCTCCCCTCCATTTTTTGGTCACCCAATATCACAGATTTCAAGCGCTGAAAATAATTTAAAATGTCTATTCTCTCTTGCAGTCTAAACTGTTATGCCTCTGTGATGCCAAATCTGAATGCTTACTGAGCAGAAAAGTAGCTGAGCCTCATTTGGACGGTAAAAAGGCCATCAGAAAGCCAGCATGTGCCCGTATTGACGTTTCCAAACATGACATGTAGCCATTGCTAAACTTTATTGGAAACTTATACTTTGGTAAAAGAGGAATTATCTAAAAAATCTTCTTAAAACCTTTCAAAACAAACCAAATATAGCAGCAGGATTCAAATATACAGTGTACATCTGATATGTTTAAGAAAAGAAATGCACAGAAAGTGAAACTGTCCACACACACGCATGTAAAAAGGTTCAAATAAGTGGCTTTCCCCCCCTTTTTATAAAAAGTGTGATTTTTACCATCAAAATCAAAATGTACAACTATAGATTAGCCTAATCTTGAAAATACAGGCAGGAGGCCCCTCCTTACACACACACTCGCACACACACACACCCAAAAGGAGCATTTACATTGTAATTACCCCTGAGCCTCTCTCCAGGTCCCTGTGGGACCTCAGGCTGAAGACGGTCTCAGAAGAGTCCCAGTTGTCCCATTGAGGAGATCATTAGCCTGGTTAGAGTAATCCACAACAGCCTGTGTGTGTGTGTGTGTGTGTGTCACATGTGTGCCCATGCGTTAAGTGGTTGTTAAATGGACTCCATAGCCTTTAATGTCCGTGGACATTAGCTTTATTGGTGTGATCTGAAAAGTTATTTAGTGACAGCTGGGATTTCCCTCCCTCGGGATGTAGCTGCTGACAACTCATGATAGGAGACATGAATGAAAGGGGAAATAGGCGTTAAATTGAAAGACCTGGAAAACTGCCGGGAAGAAAAACACCCTGAATTAATTCAAAACAAAACAAAACCCAAAAAACACACACACAGTAACAGTAAAAAATATTTTTTACAAAAGTTATTCGTGTCAGAGTGCTTTTCTTCCTTTACTTTAAAATTCT